GTAATGGTCACCTCTATATGAGTTGTCAGGGAATTTAGCTTAGTGTAGCATCACCTATAGCAGTTCCAGAAGATGGCTGGGACTGGTGTATCACAGAAGCATAGACAGTTCAGGCCTCAGACAGAGACATGGTCAGCAAACAAGAAATGGATGGGTCTAAGCAACAGGCAGAAATTTGGTCAATAAACTGGCCAGGGTCATAACAGATGGCAGGCAGACACAACACTGCATTGGTGTGGTGATGATCAGAAACATTGTTGCTGGCTGCACTGGTCTGGTGAGACTTGGGACTAGTGTGGCAGCAATCAGGAACACTGCTGCTTACTTATACTGGTCAGGTGACATTGGGACTGGCGTAGCAACATTCAGGGACACCGTTGCTTGTTAAACTGGTGTAGTAACACTGCAACTGGTGTGGAGGTGACCAGGGACACTTTAACTGGTTTGGCAGTGATCAGGGGAAATATGACTGGTATGGTGAAGATCAGGGACACTGTAACTGGTATAGTGGTAGTAAGGGGCAATATGACTGGTGTGGTGAAGATCAAAGACACTGTAACTGGTGTGGCGATAATAAGGGACAATATTATATCTGGTGTGGCGGTGATCAGGGAAATTGTAACTGCTGTGTCAGTGATCATGGACAAAATGATTGGTGTTGCAGTGATCAGGAACCATATGGCCGGTGTGGCAGTAATCAAGGACAATATGGCTGGTGTGGTGGTGATCATGGACAATATGATTGGTGTGGCAGTGATCAGGGACAATATGATGAGTATGGTGGTGAACAGGGACACTGAGTGGTGTGGCAGTGCTTAGGGATGCTGTGAGTAGGTGATGGTGATTGTGGAAAATGATTGGTGCAGCAGTAGGGTTCAATATCACTCCCTTTCTCATGGGATAGACTCTACCTGCAATCCGCTTGCTCAGTGGGGGTTCTGTCCACTGATTACCACTAAGCAGGTGGATGACAGGTCTGTATGTCAGACACAGCCTACACTCCTCTATGGGCATTTAGATGTAAATGGACTGCCTATTCGTTTACACCTGACAGCCGTCTGATCCAATCTGTCCAGGCAGAGGGGAATGGATACCCATCCCCTTGCTTTTATCAGATCGAATGTCATTTTTTTTTGCATTTTATGTGCTTTGCCATGATGGCTGTATAAACAATAATTTCTGACAGTCCTCGGCTGCATTCCTGTGGTCATTGAGAACACTGCCTTGGACTGTGATTGACTGCAGCTATCACATGGTACAGGTAGGCAGTGCTTGGCCCAGTACCATGTGATCACTGTGACCAATCACAGAGCTCACAGTAGTTCTAAATGGCTGCATCAATGGTAGCAATCTTTCCTATTGGACATGATTGGTCACAGTGAGCACATGGTACCAAGGCGGGGTCCCACCACTCAGAACTCGGATCAGTGATCCGGTGGACACAGCTGTCACACTATGAGGCCAGGGGGCGTGCAGGAGGTACAGTTCTAAGAGAATGTACGGGTATGTCCACTTAGAACGGTGTTTGCCCTAGACAACCATTTATGTACAGTAGGTGGGTGGGAAGCAGTTAAAAACAGCAACTGGGATCTGTCATTTAGCAGCATTAATACTGTCCCTAATAAATAGCAGATCCCTAGCTTATTTCTGTTTGTAAACAAGTGAGGGGATCTGTCATTTAACAGCAGTAAAGATCCTCACTGGCCTCCATTTGTAAATAAACCTATTTCATCAAAGTGCAATGAAGCTCCCTGTGTATATTATTAAAAAAAATATCAATTAAGAATATCCCAAATTATGCATAAAAAGATGTTGGGCCTGCATGCTGGGAAATATATACACTTATTTCAGATATGTGAATATACAAATCACGACACGTAGTAGTATATATTTAATCTCACTCTCTCTTAAAATCACCCTGTGAACAAGCGCAGATTTACAATACAGTCTTTTTACTCAAATACATATTTTATTTATACACAATTCAAGGTTCCATACTGGTGATTAATTTGTGCTCTCTCATCTTTTAGCATAGCATGTTCCCACCTCCAGTTTTGACCTATAATTCAAAAATAGAATATATCTCCAAAAGAGGGAATGTATCATAAGTAAAAATTTCCTTATAGTGTAGTAAATTAAATTTTCAAATAATTTCAGATGAGCATACAATTTACTCTCAAGCATAAGTTATTCACAATTTTCAACCCCTATATAACCAAGCAAGTAGAACGCTCACCAGAAACAATTGACCCACTAGTCATGCATAAGTCAATAACCCATTTCATATGACATTCATTCATAAAACCCTCAAATATGTAAATAGGTAGATGAAATCCTCACCAGAAATATAGGACCCACTTTTTATGCAGGTCAATCTACAGTTTTAACACAATGCTTGTGTTAAAATACTAGCTTGAACAGCATAGAAACAAATCTCTTTTTCTTTTGCTGTCTTTTACCCCCTCTACACCTCCTCTTTTTTCTGTGCTTTTCCTTCCCATCTCTCCGCTGTGTTTCTACTGTAGGTTTGTGGGTTTCTCCATCTGTCTAAAAAAATGTTTGAGGAGGTTTCCCTTCTATAATCCTCCCTCAATGGTTCATATCTGTTCCTAATAGGCATGGGGCTATTGTATCCTTATATATAAGTAAAATGCAGCGCTATAAATATATCATAAATAGTTAAATAGTGATAAGACACAGTCCAGTGAAAGGTGCTCGTTGATCCCCGGTGCAAATGGTAGAAATACGCACTAACCAGAAGCGTATAGGTAATACGCATGTGAATAAAAATCCTGAAGATTCCCCTCTCCTTTCTGGTCTGATCACGGGAATAGCTGGAAAGAATGAAGATCAAGCGCCCTCGTGTGGTGAAGATGTGGTCCAGCAGGTCAGAAAAATCTTTGCCAAGATGTAGTTCCCCCTCTCAGGAGCTGACACAGGAATCACTCAGGGTGTGGAACCTAAGGGGTTAATCCTCTGCATTGTGTAAAAATGCTGTTTGATCTTTTGTTCTCTGCCTCTCCTCCTGTTCAAATGCTCATGCTGATGAACCCTTGCCCTTCTGCACATGCTCTGACCTGCTGGACCACATCTTCACCACACGAGGGCGCTTGATCTTCATTCTTTCCAGCTATTCCCGTGATAAGACCAGAAAGGAGAGGGGAATCTTCAGGATATTTATTCACATGCGTATTACCTATACGCTTCTGGTTAGTGCGTATTTCTACCATTTGCACCGGGGATCAACAAGCACCTTTCACTGGACTGTGTCTTATCACTATTTAACTATTTATGATATATTTATAGCGCTGCATTTTACTTTACTTTATATATATTTCTTGGGACTTTTATGCGTTTTCCTTGAATGTTCAGCTGCTAATTATTGAGAGCGCTCACTATATTTTTACATTTTTCCCTATTGTATCCTTGTTTCTCCTATATGGTACTCTTTCTTGTCTCTGTCTGCATGAATGTCAGCAATCTACTGGGTGTGTTATATTGTCCCCTCTGTTGTCGATTTCTTTTTTTGCAGGTGGTCACCATTTAGGGGTATTATAGTTATCACATTGTCTATTAACTGGCCTTTTGATCTCCTTGTTCCATTCAGGCCTCCTAGGTGTGTCTATTATGTCTCTTTCTGGACTCTTCTATTTTTGTATTACCTCCACTTGTGTCTCCCATTCTGGAATGGTAAGAGCTGAATTCAAATCCTTCACATCATTCTGCCATTTGAACACTTGATCGGTTCTAAAATCAGTAACGTTCCTTTGAATTTTTTTCCTTTTTCTGTTTCTTGTCTCCTGATCAGTTTGTGAAGGTTTTTATTTAAATTATTAGTTAGCATCATAAAATCTGTGAGTTCCTTATTTGGTTCAAGTTTGCCCTTTTATTATTATGATGTGCACCAGATTTCAGTGAGTGTATTTTATACTTTTTTTTTAATAAAGGATGAGTTCTTTTTAGTAGAAAGAACAATTATGATTTTTTTCACATTTTTGAGCCATTATTAGTAAACATTTAAGTCATGTCCATATAAAAGAAATGGATTTTTTAAATAAATTTTGTCTTAACCAATCGGGAATATCTGTAGATGTAAGGTCCCTTCTAGAAATGTGTGAGGTGAGGAACCTTAAATTATATATAAATAGATCACATATTTTAGGAAAAAAGACTTTGGTTTATGTTCTGGTTCTTGCACTTATTCACAGGGAGGGAGATTTATATATATATATATATATATATATATATATATATATATACATACACATACACACCCTGTATATATATAAATATTGTATGTCTTGATGTGTACATTCACATATTTGATATAAGTGTGTAAAGGGGCTTGTGAATGGCCAATGCTGGTGCCAACTGGTGCAAGTCCCTGCTCTGCTTCTTCTTGATAGAACAACAGCCCACCATATTGGGCCCACTCCTTGCCAAAAGCCTACCCATTTACATGCCGGGTCAATAAAGTTTGTATTCTGAAGAAAGGTATGTCCAAACCAAAGAAGTATAGGTGCTGCACTTTACTGGTGTTACTTCACAATATGGCGCATTACAGTCACATTACACAGACATACAGTACTAGCTTGCATCACTTGATAGTACTTTGTCAATCACATATAGTGGATGATCTGTAGCAGTCACATGTGAAACCAGCATATAATACTTCATCCTTAAGCCATCTTTCCTTTCATAGTCTCGCTTCATTCTAGAGTCATTAGTACGCACTCAGAGGACTCTGGATTGCCTTAGGCTATCTACATCCAGCTGATGACACTCTGATGGTCATTCCAGAGAGAAGACCAATGCAGCTGCACCTCTAGTACACTTATCCCAAGTCCTTCAGGGGGATAGGCTCACTTCAGAGAACACTTGGCCTGGTGTCAGGTCTTGTGTCATCGTTTGGGTCATCTGCTGGTGGCACTGCGGTTCCCATAGTAAAAGGGTGCAGTTCCTGTGATCACCACCGGGTGTCCCCCAACAGCTGGGCTGTTCCCAGGGGCCGACTGACCATTTGGAAACTCGGGCACTGCCCAAAGGCCCGGGGTCAGTATGGGGCCCCATGGGATGCCCCCGGTACCTTTTTCATAGGCTTTTTGAGTTTGGGAAAGGACACAGGGGCCCCATGATCCCCTATTGCCCGGGGGCCCCATGAATTGTCAGTCTGCCCCTGGCTGTTCCAGTAATTAGGCTGCACCAGACTTGGGCTGCTGGGAGGTATATAATTCTGGCCATAACTGAGGTTCAGTGCTTCAGTATTCTTTCTGCAAGCCGTGGTACCTCTACAGTCCCAGGTGGATTAGGGGACCCTTGCTGGGTGACAAATGCCTTGGGAAGACCTGCATGGCTGTATGAGCATAGAGCAGCTTCTGGTAACCAAGATGTTGAAGGTCAATTCACAATGGTACACCCTGGCATCAGGGTAACTGTATGAACCAGGGATACTGGTGTTAGGCCTTGAGCTGGCCTTTGCGGTCCCATATGCTGCATTTGGGATGAGCACGTTTCTGATGTTGCAACACTTTAGGGATCTGACCTGTGGGGAACCCAGACAGCTTTTGTACTCTGGTGGCGGGGTAACCAGTCAGATTTCAGACTCTGACAGTGGGGCGCATGACTAGCTACTAGACTTAGGTGGCACACTATCCAGTGGGTTTAAAGACTCGGGTCCAAAGAGTTTAAGAGAGTCTTCAGACACTGAAGGAAAACCTTCTTGGACTTATCCAAATGGACTTCTGGGTTTAAGGCAGAATGGAGTGCCTGGAGACTGTCAGGGTTTGTGTCATCACCTGGGTCACCTGTTGGTGGCACTGTGGTTCCCAGATTCAAAGGGTGCAGTTCCAGTGGTCACCAGTGGGTGTCTCCCAGCAGCTGGGCTGTCCGAGCAATTAGGCTGCACCTCACATGGGCTGCTAGGAGGTATATAATTTTTTCCATAGCTAAGGTTCAGTGCTTCAGTATTCCTCCTCCAAGCTGTGTCCCTGCCTGAGCCTTGTTCCTGTACCTGCACCTGACCCTGAACCTTGTTCCTATGACCTGCTCCTGTACCCTTCATCCAACTCTTCCTGTACCCTGTATCCTGCTCTCCCAGTACCTTGACCACTGCTCCTCTTGTTTCCTGTGTGTTTTTTGGAAATGAGTAACAAGGGATACTCAAATAACACATCTATGGCCAGTGTCTGTACATAGATAAACAAACATACTTGAAATGCTGGGTAACATCATTGACCAAACATGGTCATGGCCATATTTGATCAATGACATCTCTTAGGATCCCTGACCAGTTTGTCTAGAAACAGAAACCTTTGGGGATCCACCACAGCTAAATAACAAATCGAATTACTGACGGACGTATTGTCAACTTCTCACAAATGGGCTTGTTGGAATATTTTTTGTTCAATCAGCACTGCAACCAATCAGCTGCAGCACTGATCAGTGTATACAACAGCAGAGGAGTTCCTGCTGTCAGAGTACAATAGAACAGTGTGGAGGATTCCTCTATCTACCTTTCTTGTGTAGATGGAGGAATCATAAATTTGATCCATATATGCCCAGTTTTACAGAAAATTGTTGTTTACGTAATGAGGCTTGTGCAGCACATAGTAATTGGGTTTGGTGTTTGCTCAGACTACCATATAGGAGCATTGTACATAGATTCAGAATATTCAAAATAATTTAGTGTAATGCTGATGCCAACCTATAACCAAAGTGGCAAGTGAATATGTAGATATTTGTGTGATACATATATGAACCCATCAGCTCTTTCATTTTTACACTGATTAAAAAGTATTAAAGCAGTTTAGTTTCTAGTTTTATTAACCGTTTCACGCCCGCCATATAAGGAAATGACGGGTGGGTGGTGGCTCTCTTGTTCTGGGAGGAGATCATTTGATCTGGGACACAGCGGATCACTGATCACAGTACAGAACCAATGACATTGGCTCTGTCATGTGATCATCTGTGTCCAATCATAGCTGATCGCATGTAAACAAGGAAATGCCAGTTATCGGCAGTCTTTTCCTCACGCTAACAGCGTGTGAGGAGAGGAGAGCTGGTAAGCAGCATTCCTCAGTGTGATCAGCGTAGCCCCATCAGTGCTGCCTGTGAGTGCCCATCAATGCCACCTATCAGTGCCCATCAATGCCACATACCAGTGCCCAACAGTGCACATCAATTCCATATATCAGTGCCTACCAGTGCACATCAATGCCACATATCAGTGCCCATCAGAGTACCAACTATCAGTGCCAGTCAGAGATGCCTATCAGTGCTGCCAATCAGTGTTGCCTATCAGTGCCAGTCAGTGCTGTCTATCAGTGCCCATCAGTGACGCCTATCATTGCCTGTCAGTGACGCCTAACATGTCCAATCAGTGCCACCTAACAGTTCCAATTAGTGCCGTCTATCAGTGCCGCCTATTGGTGCCCATCAGTGCTGCCTATCAGTGCCATATATGAGTGCTGCTTTCAGTGCCCATCAGTGATGCCTATCAATGCCCCCCAATGATGCCCATCAATGCCCATTAGTGCCACCTACCAGTGCCTCATCATCAGTGCCATCTATCAGTGCCCATCAGTGCAGCCTATCAGTGCCCATCACTGCAGCTTCATTAGCGTACATCAATCAAGGAGAAAAAATTACTTATTTACCAAATTTTATAACATAAACTAAGGAAAACCTTTTTTAGTTTGTTTAGCAAAGATAAAAAACCCAGAGGTGATTAAATACCACCAAAAAAGCTCTATCTGTCTCAAAAGATATAAAAATGTGGGGCGCATACGCGGCCGGCTCCGAGATGGCAGCTCGCTGATGAGAGCTCCGTCTCACCAACAGTCACACCACGGCACACTCCGGACCCAACAGCAGTAAACACCTCTCCCTGATGTGGGACATCGCTAAACCACCAGGGACATGCCTCGTCGCCGTAGATCACCAGGGCAGCCAGGAAAGCTGACAAGCTTTTTCTCAGCTCTCGGCCCCGAATCCTCTCAGCATGATATCACACAGGCAGAAGGGAGCACGGACCAGACCACAGAGCCCAGGCTTAAGGAACCACTATACCCAGGAGACCCGGGTGAGTCCTCTCTGCCCTGTCTCTCACCACTAGCAGCCCTGCCAAGTCCAGACCCAGGCTGGACATAGTCTCTATCTCTGTTCTACAGCCTTCCTATCCTCTTGCATTCACTGCTACTACTCCTATTCCATCTTTAATAGAGAATTTTCCCACTTCTGATCAACCTATCACTGAAATCTCAATGAAAAGTATGCTTCTCTCGCTGCGACAAACACTACATGATGACCTGACAACAACTTTATCTCAAATCTCAACCGTGGTACAAAAACAAGACCACTGTATCCGCCACATTGAGAATAAATTGGGGGAAATGTTCACAGCACACAACGACCTGATAGATGCACACGCAGGTCACAGAACCGACATAGAACAAATTAGCCTCAAATTGGCAGACCTAGAAGACCGCTTCAGGCGGAATAATATCAAATTTCGCGGAATTCCAGAAAATATCACTATGGACGCCATAGTGCCCTACATACAACAATATATGAAGCAACTCCTTCCTTCTCTAACAGATGTGGAGCTCGCTATAGACCGTGCGCACAGAATACCAAAACCATCGTTCCTAACAGCCGCAATACCTAGGGATATCCTATAACGCATACACTTCTACCACGTGAAGGAAAAAATAATGATAGCTGCAAGAAACACTACCTCAATACCAGCAGCTCCAGCACATATAAAATTATTCGCAGACCTATCCAAAGCCACACTCCTCATCCGCAAGAAACTTGTCACCATAACAAAAGTGTTGTGGAACCACGAAATCGGCTACCAATGGGGTTTCTCCACGACGCTCATTGTCAAACAGCAAGGAAAGCTATTTACGATCAAAACCCTAGAAGCAGACATCGAACTCCTGAAAACATGGAACATCATACCAATGGACTCCCACCAATCCACCTCTACTCGACCACAACAAATGGATGCAGAATGGTCTTGAACCAATAGTTTCTGATGTCATTCATCACCCAACAAGCTGGGTAACAATCCATGAACCACTAATGGCTGGCAGACAACCCCTACACAAACATTTCTAAACCCCAAGTTTTTTGTGACTCTTCTCTCGTGAGTCATGTATGTTCAAATTCCCTCGTTACACAGTAGCAAAATGTTTTATACATATCACTTGTATTTTCCACAAGTTCTTTTTACCCCTTTACCCTCCTATCACCACCAGTCGCTCAGGTCAACCGCTCTTCTTTCAAAAATCTGCACTACAAGATGAAACACCCTCATCAAGCCAGCGACCACATCAAGCGCATTACTCCTTCTTTATGGAAGCTTCCCACCGGCAGCAGAAAGTAACCTACCTTTCTACACAACCTATGAATCATCTCTACTACTCCATACAAACCACTTACATATCATCCTTGAATGCCCACGGCCTTAATTCGCCTCACAAGATATCCCTACTACAAAAAGAAGCTCACTTCTTGCAAGCTGATGTCCTATTCCTTCAGGAATCCCACTTTGCCACCACTAAAATTCCCAAATTTTATATAAATTACTTCTTACCAATATATATGGCAACCAGCCCCCAAAAAAAGAATGGCGTCATCACAGCCATAAGAGACTCCTTCCAATTTCAATACATCTCAGAAGTTGCAGACCCTCAAGGCCGCTACCATATCTTGATATGCAAAATAAACGGAATATACCCTGGTCAACATCTATGGCCCAAACACCAACCAACTCCAATTCTACAACAAACTCAACTCAACCATCTCCGTTTAGAAACATGTCAGACTACTCATAGGAGGAGACTTCAACATCATCGGCAATCCACTATTAGACTCTTCTTCCAGTAAACGCTCCTCCAAGCACACCTTTAACCACTTTCTACACAAAAATGATCTCTACGATATACAGTATGGCGATGCCAACACGGAAATAGATTACACCAACTATTCCCCATCCCACCTTTCCTACTCCAGAATTGACTTTTTCATCACAGACAAGTGGACTTTGCAACATATCACCTCCTCCAAGATCGGCACCATAACCTAGTCAGACCACGCTCCAACCTCCATCACTCTAGACCACAATCAACATTCTACGATTCCTCAAATTTGGAGACTGAACTCGACCCTATTGAAGAATCCAGATAACAGAAAACATATATTGGATGCTCATAATATGTTCTTTGACATAAATGAATCACCTGAGATATCGCTACCTATATTATGGTCCACTTACAAGGCATACATGAGAGTTATTCTTAAACAACTAAACTCCCATATCACAAACAAAAAGAAACCAACAAATTGACGAACTCCTCTCCTCAATTAAAACAAAAGAAGAATTAAATAAAAAATCCCTAAATCCCACAACTTCTGCCCACCTCACCACAGACAGAAACAAACTCAGAACCCTCCTACTTTGTAAATATGACCTCAACCGCCAAAAAACAAAAACTAAATTTTACTCTCTTAGCAACAAAGCTAACACCCTATTAACCAAAATGATTAAACAACGACGACTAAAATCCAAAATATCTGCAGTTCAACACCCAACCTCACACACCTTATCCACAAACCCGCAAGAAATAGCCAATGCCTTTGCGACCTATTACCAACAACTATATAACATTAAAAACAACTATCACACTATCCAACCAACACCCACATCCATACAGCAATTCCTCCACACAATTAAACTCCCCCAACACTCCCCAACCAAACTTGACGATATATCGACCCCGATCTCTCCCAAAGAAATAGAAATTCCCATCAAAACACTCCCCCTTAACAAGTCTCCAGGAAATGACGGATATACTAACAAATTTTACAAACAATTTGCCCCTAACCTATCATCATACTTGACCAAACTCTTTAATCACGCAGACACCACCGGTTCATTCCCCAAAGACATGCTACAGTCGATAATAACAACAATACCAAAACCTGGCAAAGACCCACAACTTGTCCAAAATTATAGACCGATTTCCCTACTCAACACAGACATAAAACTCTATGCAAAAATGATAGCTCTCAGATTACTCCCCTATCTTCCTACCTTGATACACCCAGACCAAGTAGGATTCATACCAGGCCGCCAAGCACCTGATGCTACAAGAAGACTTATATCTCTTCTTCACCACTTAGAACACACCAAACAACCCTCATTACTCTTATCCTTAGACGCTGAAAAAGCATTCGACCACATACACTGGCTATTTATGCGATTAACTCTACAGAAATTTGGTATTACAGGATGTATGTTAACAGCCATCTTATCACTATACTCCTTCCCCTCATCTAGAGTATTAACAGACGGAACACTATCAGATCCCTTTGATATTACCAATGGTACTAGACAAGGCTGCCCACTTTCTCCCATCATATTCGCACTACTGATTGAACCCTTAGCCTCTAAACTTAGAGACGACCCGATGTTCACTGGCGTCAAACACCTTAATACTGAACACAAAATTAGCCTATTTGCAGACGACATCATATTGATGATTACCAACCCAGCCAAATCCCTCAAAACAATACGCACACATCTTCAACAGTACACGACTCTTACTACAAACTTAATGAACCCAAATCCTCAATCTTAAATCTCCACACACCATATCAAACCCAGACACTACTTGCTAAACAATTCCCTTTCTCTTGGGAAAAAAATACATCCCCTACTTAAGAATCAAACTCACCGCAACAACAGACCAATTATTCACCTCAAACCACAAAATACTACTCGAAACTATACCCCAAGAAATTGCCAATCTTCGTACCTCAGAACTTTCTAAATTAGGCAGAGTTGCGACATTGAAAATGTACATCCTTCCAAAAATGTTATACATCTTCTGCACACTTCCCATACCAGTTCCTAATACTTTTTTCTCCAAAATACAGTCGATTCTCACCAAATTGTTATGGAACTCTAAAAAAAAAACCTAGATGTACCACCAATCTCTTAATACGACCACCTTCCAAAGGAGGAGCAGGCTTCCTGCATCTAAAATCCTACTATAATGCTACTCTTCTGGACCAAATATATTTTTGGTTGAACCCAACCAGAGAAAAAATCTGGTCTACAATGGAAACCTTGCCCTTCCTTCCACTTAAACCCCAAAATTTACTTTTAATTCCATCAATGTCACAAACAAACTACCAGCTAAAACACCCATGCATCCAAGCCGCTCTTTGAGCCTGGAGCAATCTTTTGTCTATGAAATACACAAATCGCAAACAAATCCCTACCCCAATTGACATACTACATTCCATTACACCCTCTCTAGACCTATGTCAATGGGAAAAACGAAACATACACAAAATAACAGACCTCTATAAAGACCACACCCTACACTCATTTCAAAATCTTCAAACCAAATTCAATCTCCCTACCACTGAATACTTCACTTACTTACGAATTATCCATTGTATGCAAACAAAAGACATACCTCATACTGTACCATGAAGATTCCAACTACAGCCTATCTTTTCTTTTCCAGACCACAATACCCAGGTAAAGGCATTTCCACATTCTACAAGTACATAACGGACTTACAATTTGTTCTAAAATCTACCTCCTTATC